GTGGACCTACGCGCGGGCCGAAACGCAGGCCCTGCGCCTGCCGCCTCTCCCTTCTGCTAGCGCCGGTCTCGCGCCATGGCCGCCTCCCCGGGCTCGGGCAGCGCCAACCCGCGGAAGTTCAGTGAGAAGATCGCGCTGCACACGCAGCGGCAGGCCGAGGAGACGCGGGCCTTCGAGCAGCTCATGACAGACCTCAACCTCTCGCGGGTGAGGGCCGGGACCAGCGGGGGCGGGGGCGGCGTGCGGAGAGGTCGCGGGGCTGAGGCGCTTGCGGGGCGGAGGCGGGGCCGCGCCCCGGGAAAGGGCGCCCGGGAGCGGGGCCCGAGCGGCCGAGGCCTCGGCACTTCTCTGCCTCCTAACGCCCGCTTGCCACTTGGAAGGTCGCCGGGCCGAGAGTGAGGGAAGGCGGGCGGCGGTGTGAGGGAGGCCTGAAGTGGAGGATGACCGGGAGCCCCTAGAGGAAATCACAAACAGCTCGGAGGCCAAACAGAGCCGCACGTCGGCTTGGGTATCGCAGCTTCTCATTGCTCCGAACATCCACTACCAGCGAGTGTTTCTGGACTGGGCGGCGTGGGAGGGCCGCGGGAGTCCGAGGGTTCCACCCGCGCCATCAGGAAAGCTCAGCGCGCGTGTAAATGCAGGGCCGCCCACTGGGTGGCTTGGGATTTTGTACCATGATGTGATTCCTTGCTGAGCAGGAGGCTTTCCTATTTTCATTCCTTGAGGTGCTTAGTAGGTCCAGTCTATGTTGTTCGCTCCCGAATATTTAATGAGAACTGATACGATGCGCAGCTTTGCCAGTGACTGGAGGGTCCTGTTGTTGTTGTTGTTGTTAGAGGAATGAATAAGGCTTGGAGGAGACAACACCGAGTAAGGTTAGATAACAGTTAAGTGAGTTGTGGAGGATGGAGTATCCGCGCAGAATTGCAGAGCAGGAGAGTTAGCGGGGCAGGCCTTGACGATCCTGAAGGCTGACCTTGAAGGACCATGAGGAGGATGGTAGGCTGTGCACGACGCTGGGAGCAGGGAAGAGGATGAGGTTGGGAGTGGCGTGAAGGAGAGCTGAGGGTAAATTTGCAAACCGGTAGTCCTGGGCACACTGAACTGCAGACACATTTTGTTGACCAGGACAGTATTGGGAACTTTTTTTTTTTTTTTCTTTTTTAAATCTGTTGCCAGACTTTTTAAATTGGGAGATTTCCATATAAAGTCTAGGTTGCCTTATTTGTTTATTTACAATTAGGAGACCTGGTAACATAATCTTGAATTACCATAAGATACTGTCATTTGGAGCTGGGTGGTACTTGCCCCTCAAATGGAGCATGAACTTCCTAATTTACCAGAGACCCCATCACTCCTATCACAGTTCCCCATCCTGAAGTTACCTATCAGTTGCCATTTATCGTATTTATGATGATGTTTTATTTTAGTGAAGTTGAGGGGGAAATGAAATATTTCTTGTACTTATATTTCTATCAAAACTGAGAAAAAAATTTGTAAAGAAGGCTGAGGATTTCAAGAAATTTTTTTTTCTCATGCTCTGACCAGCTTCACTCATTTATTTCCTGCCTGGAGTCCACAGGCATTTACATTTCTGATCTTAGACTCAGGGATGAGCATAGCAAGCTCAGAGCACATTTAAGAGAATGACTGAGTGAAAACTGAGTATTAATTTGGGGGCCTGTGTTGTTTATATGTTTATATACATACATTGTATAAGTACAAATAATGCACTATACATATCTATTTACCTGGAGTTGTCACCTAACTCACATATCTCCTTTAAAACATCCTGACAAGTGAGGTCATGAGTAATCTACAAACTCTTTTAAAGGCAAAAATTTTTCACATATCCTCAGTGCTCACTTAAATAAGTTGATGTTACCCAAATATGTTCAAACAAACTTGTTAGCCACATGGTGTTCTTTGCTTATAGCTGTGATACAACCATAAACCAAAATAGTGCACAAAAACAAACAAAAGCAAAGTTACAAATGCAATAGATTCAAATTAACAACATTAATTTAATGTGACTGATGCTGTAAGTGCTGAACTAAATTGAGGCTCTCAGTGTGAATATGGTACTAACTGCTGTAGCTGAGGTTCTCCTAAGTTTAGCAAGAGTAATCAACTGTGACCTTTGTGAAAAATGAATTTGGCCACTTTTCTCTTGTTCTCATTACTAAAAATTATGATGTCACTTTGCCTTTCACCTGGTATAGGGCATCATTTGGATGTTAATTATGCCTGTGTTCTTTTCTCTTTGGCCAATTGCAGGTAAAGTAATAATTACTTGACTCCACTGTTCATAAACACAAACACAAATGATAACATTGAATTTGACTTGCCATATTTGCTTATTTAAAAGGTTTATGGGTTATAATCATAACAAAACCACAAAATTAAAACACTTCTTAAAGAGAACTCTTACATCCCCAAGTATATGTATGCAAACTTCCAAGGGTCCAAAGATGCCAGTTAGAGAAGAATTTGTCTACTTCATTATTGGTAACTGGATGGCAGCTATATTGCCTTCCCATTGCCACCCCCATGGCAGACATTTTTAATTAATGGGACAGGCATTACTAATCCATCCTTGCACCCTTTCCCTCTAAGCCTGTGTTGGGCTCAAGTCCTTCTCAACATAGTCACAACCATTCCTTCAGATTTAGACTTAAATATTATTTGTGTCGGGGCCGACTCGACGGCACATAACAACAACACAACAACAACATTATTTGTGTAGTAGATTACAGAGAGTTCTTCACTCTAGTGTTATGGGTTCAGCCTTATCAAGAAGCAGTGGGAAATTTTTGAGAAGGGAGGACTAGAAAGATTAAATCAGTGGTGGTGCCTGTGATGGTAACAAGAGGGAACAAAGTGGTGGCAGGTATGCCTGGGAAGAGGATGTATTCACTTGGCAGTATTTGTGCAGCCACTATGTGGCTAATGGTATGTTTGTAGGGGATAGAGGGTGGAGACATGATGCTTCTCTTCCAGGATCTTACTAATTTACTCAACGTATATTTAGTCAGTCCTTCATGTGTGCCAGAGTTAGGATGGATATTGGGGATATAGTAGTGAGTAAGCAAGACATCTTCTCCTTATGAGTTTTAGGATTTAATGGGGAAGACATTCATTTAACAAGTCGAACGTGTTTTGATGAATGTTACAAAAGGGGAAGTAGATGGCTCTCTGGGAGTGTGTGTAGAGTCCTCACTTCTTCTAGGGGCCTAAAGGATGAGCAGAAATGAAGAAGGTATTTGATAGTATATGTTTGCGTGTTGAGGGAAGGAGAATATTTCAGACATAGAGAATAGAAGGGAACAAGGAAAGTGATTTCAGATGAAGCTGGAAAGGTTCACAGGGGTCAGGTTGTGGACATAGGATTTGGGTTTAGATCCTAAGGACAATGGAAGGTCATTGTAGGGTTGAACCAGGAGAGATTTGCATTTTTAAAAGATCTTTCTTGCTCCAGAGTGGTAGATAGAATAAAAGAGGAGCAGCGGATAAACCATTCTGAGGCTGAGTCTGGGAGAGATGATGATGGCTTTGGCTAGGGTGGTAGCAATGAGGAGGCAGAGAGGTGAACAAACTGATCCTTAGGAGGTAGAAAGGACCAGATTTGTAAATGGATGAAAGGGATGAGGGAAAAGGAAGATTAGAGGATGATCTCCATCTTTTAGGCTAAAGCCATTTCAAGAATATCTGCCATTAATAGGAATGCCAGCAGAGGAGCAGGGTTTGGCAATCAGAGATGTTAAGTTTGAGGTACCTGTGAGGTATTTAATGATCCAGCACAGTTTTTTATATGGTCCTGGAGCTCAGGAGGGAAGACTGGGCTAGTGATATAAATTTGCAGATCTTTGGTGTATAGCCATTGGGGGAGATTCATCTGCCTTGTTGTTGTTGTTAGGGGCTGACTCATAGTTTCAACTCATAGAGACCCCATACACAACAGAATGAAACACTGCCCAGTCCTGTGCCATCCTCACAGCCCCTGCTGTACTTGAGCCCATCGTTGTAGCCACCGTGTCAGTCAGTTTCACTGGGGATCTTCCCCCTTTTCGCTGACCCTCTCCTTTACCAAGCATGATATCCTTCTCCAGGGACTGCTGGTCCCTTCTGACAACATGACCAAAGTAGGTGAGACGAAATCTGGCCATTCTCACCTCCAAGGAACACTCCAGCTTCACTTCCAGGACAGCACTTCCAGTACTGATTTGTCAGCTACCTAAAGAATTTATATTGCAAACTGGTAACCTACATTCTGTATTTATTTCCATTAGGCTCAGAATGTGTTTAGAAATAATGAGGGCCAACAGTTACTATTGGGGTTTAACATTAAAATCTGGACTCTTGCTTCCTTTGAGAAATAAGATCACCTGGCAACAGTGACCCTACATTTCTGCATGGCAGCAGTTGCCTGGAGCTAAGTAGATCTTATCTGGTCCCATTAGATATAAGGCATGTATATGCTCTTCAGTTGGGAGCTCTGGTAGCATAGTGGCTAAGGCACTTGACTGCTAACCAGAAGGCAGGCGGTTCAAACCCACCAGCCACTCCTCGGAAGGAAGGTTGGGCAATCCTACTTCCGTAGTGATACTGCCTCGGAAACCCAAGGAGGGGTCGCTATGAGTCGGGGCCGACTCGATGGCAAACAACAACAACAATGCTCTTCAGTTAGCCACAGTCCCCACCATTCCCCCTCTCTATAGTGTTCTTCATGGTGAATCCACCTTTTTTTTAACTTACCTTCCCTCCTTAGCACCTGTAGGCATTTGAGTTTATTACCCCTGTTAACAGAGTGAAATGTGAAGAGGGCCTAGGATAAGTTTGACTTGCTCTATCATTGAAAGCAGAAGTAGAGGAGGAGAATACAACAAAGAGCCTGAAGAGTAGCCAGAGAGGAGAAAAGCCAAGAGAATTATTGTAAAGATGAGGGAGTATTGACCAGCTGAACCTGGTGCTGTTGACTCGGTCCAGCATAAGACCATGTCCTTTGGTCTAGTCTTATGGAGATAGATGATGGGTAACTATGGTGAGAGTAGCTGCATTCATAGGGTGGTAGATAGAGGGTAGGTTGCAAAGCATTGAGAAGTGAATGGGAGGAAATGGAGACAGGCTGGAAACTTGTTTTAGAAGTTTGGCCATGAAAGACAACTTGTAGTGTTGAGAAATCATAGGATAAGTTCATACCATCAGCC